CTAACAAGCTAATCATAATACGATTTTTATTATAGTATTGCAAGTAAGTTTATTTCGTGTGCTCCTTCACTAATGAATATTTAATTTAATGTCATTTTGTCAAAACAGATAATACTAATAATTTACTAATAAATCTGCTAACACGATACCTTGATTCCACCTTTTTCCCAACTGTCATATTTTATAGTCTATAAGCAGCCCAGCTACAGACAGATACAATATAGAATACGAACTTGAGAGTGATTATACCCCGCCTTTAGGAACTGGAGTTGCATGGGCTTTAGGAGAGTGATTATACCCCGCCTTTAGGAACTGGAGTTGCATGGGCTTTAGGAGAGTGATTATACCCCGCCTTTAGGAACTGGAGTTGCATGGGCCACGTTATGTCCTTAATTTATTTCTTACGGGATAAGATATTTTCATAGCTAGCCATTAAATCTGGCGGAAATATTAATGTAGATTATATAACGTAATCACAGGTTGTCTTATCTACTCTTGCAGATGAATAAAAGAGCTGAAACGAATATAGACTATTTAAATTAGGTTACTTTTTTCAAAGATTCGAGTACAAAAGTGGTATCAATTATTTCTTTGTTTACCACCGACTATAATAACATTTTGTAACAGAAACGAATAAGGAATAATGTAAACTGTGCAAAGTTAATTTAATTAGTTTACAAGAGAACAACCTGAAACCTGTTCATTAACTCACATTGTCTTGTTGTATCACTGTTCAAAAATCCATTCAGTTTCAATCCTGTTATTAATTTAAATGGTATAACGAGTCGGGAATGCATTAGATTCTCTATGTGAGTAAGGCACCAACCATTTAAATTTCAGGGGTAGAGGTTATAGATGGAGCCGAGATTTTCTGGCCAGCCATGCTATGTTGTTTTCTTTCATATCTCTGCATTTTGCATAAATTATATAAACATTGATCCTATTAACTAAACGTAAATTAATTGCATAATATGTAGTCATGCGCACAAAAATCAATTCGAGTCTTTCCATTTTGTCAAGAAACATAACTCTGTAAACCTGGCAAAACTAAGTGTTGCATGAAACACGATATTTTCTGGGAACTTGAACTCAACACTTTTTCGACATTACAAATCATCGACACCGTAATATGATTTACTTATTTTATTAACACTTAAGGTTCGTGTGCTGCTTTTCAGCATTGTTACATATTAAGCACAAGGTGTCACACGAGCTTAATGGCTGAATTCTGTAAACACCATGAATTTGCAAGATGTCTGAACAATATTCTCAAGAATGAATACACAGTGACCATCAGAAACAAAGCCCATTGTATATCAGGTACACTAGGTCTGCAAGGGTAAAGTAATGTTCATATTACTGATAATTGTCCATACCAGTGCCATCAATGTGAAACTATAATGAACTGATTCCCATTTGTCAAATTGAATATGTTGCAACCAAAAGTCCACACATAATGTGCATTTACAGAGAAGGATATATATATATATATATATATATATATATATATATATATATATAGATGCAATAAACTGACGACGAACAGTACAAAACTAGTAACTAACTAGCCTAAGCGCTTTCGACTCTTAATGAGTCTTTTTCAAAGGCAAATACAAAACATAGTTACGACAAACAAATAAACACAAAAACGTTGTGTTTGTAAACCTCTACATTTCTGTCTTCACATGTGCTAAAACTATAAATACAACCAGCTTGTATAGACTAGTTGCGGAAACTGAAAACGTTGTATAATTCCCTAAAAGTCTACAAGCCAAAGCGACATCTATTTTTACTTTGTGTACATATGTAACGCAGATTATATCCCGGATATTTGATTCTATACCGGTTATTCTTATAGTAAAAATTGAAGGATAATAAGAAGATTTAGAAAATGTTAAATTCTACTAGTGCATAGTTTTCATTTTCTAGTCTTCTTGGTTTAGACCGCTTGGTTTCAATGTTCTAAGGCGGCGTATCCAGTATGATTCCTTTTCCTTCCTGGTTTCGGAACTCCAGCTGTGGTTGTTAGCAATAGCGATAAGTATTATATCACTGAAAGTGTGGCCAGGGGAGGAGAAGTGTTCTGCGACCGGGCTTCTGTACAGCTTTTTTGTCATCCAATCAGATCTATGAAGGTTTATCCTTATGTGTAGCTTTTCAGTTTCTCCCACGTACTGAAGGCCACAGAACTTACATGTGATGAGATAAATCACATTCTCTGTTTTGCACGTTTTGTTTGGACCATGTATGTTTAGTTTTTCTTTAGTCACTGTGCTAGTGAATGTCTTGGTCTCTATCATATGTTGACAGGTTTTGCATCTTTTATCGCCACAGGGTCCAGATTGACTAGGTTGGTTTTGACTAGCGATTGTTGTTAGCTTTGCCCTGACTAGGATGTCCTTTAGGTTTTTTGGTCTTCGGTAAGCTACTACAGGTTTGTTCGGAAGTATTAGGTTTAGTATGTCTGACGATTGCACGGTTGGCCAGTGATTTGCGATGATTTTACCTACTTTGGGATTGTCTGGGTGATAGGTCAGAATAAATGGTATCCTATCAACCTTTTCTTTCTGTCCATATCTGAGTAGGTCATCACGGTTTGTTTGTTTGACCCTTTGGATTGCCTCCGCAATCAGGTCTTTGTCGTAGCCTCGGTAAATTAAATGTTTAGCCAGCTCTTCAGACCTTCAATACGTCAATTAGTTTACAATATTATGCAACCTCTTCAGTAAGTTATTCGTACATTCACTTCTTAATGTATCTTTTTTTGTTTCTAAATGTGTTTTCTTTCTTAACAATTAAAGTCCATGCATAACTTTTAGATTATTTTGAATATTTTCTCAAAATAATTGGCTTATCTCAGTCAGATCTGTCCTGAAGAGTAAGAAATAAAAATGCTACCTCTTTGAATTAGAACAACTCACCCGCAAAAATCACACCAATTAGATCCCTGTAGCGACTAAATAGGCAGTCGTCAGGATTTTCTCGGCATACTAATAATTACTTTTATAATAGATACATTAACTGACTAGGTACATCAAAATGATTCAGCAGTGAGAAATATGCAATGGTTCAGTTCCAATGTGACCTCATTTATTTTTCATGAATATCAGCTTTGTATAATTTATGAAATTCAACATATTCAGACCAAAATCCCTCAGTACCTAAAGTTCGTGGATTATAGGTGGATATCTTTTTGTCTTTACAGTTCGATACACGTTAGTTAGAAATCTTCATTCACGGTTTGTGATTAAAAGGAAATCGTCGACAATTGATTCAACACGAAAATTGAATATTCTGTATGTCTTTATTCTTCTTATCAACACAAACAATTTTTTAGACAATTATGACTAATTCGACAAATTGTTATATATGGCAAATAAATCATATGTACAGAAAGATTCGGATAATCTAGATTGAAAAAGCCACATAGGTCATCAATCAGGCAAGTACTTGAAATGAACACTTATTCGTAATGCTCTATGGCATTGAAGTACTTGAACGTGTATGCTTTAAAGGGGATACACATTACCTAACTTATAATGGGACAATTTAGCGGGGGCTTTTATTTTAACCTCCTTGGTATTTCACATCAGATTAAGAGGTACTATATGTGTAAGAATATGTTAGCTGTAAGAACTTATTTGCCCTACATGTTGGGAAGTGCAGTGTTTGCTTTGGTATAAAATATATCCGTGGGCATGCCTTATCTTCATGGGTCTTGGTACGGATTGCTCGTTCATTTTGTGAGGTTTAGCTTGTCTAAATAGACGTAAAATACATTCTATCTACCTAGATGCCAGTGAAGGTTTTCAAGGTTTAGAAAGGAAATATTTGACTTACAGGATACCTAAAAACACGTATAAGTAAGTATTGAAAAATTTATTAGCAAAAACATTATTAGAATCTTTTTTATTCACTATCATTATATGGTTAATATGTTTCTAGCGACTTATTAAAATTTTGATATAGAAACTATAATTTGCAGCATGTATATTTGGTGTTCTTTTAAAATGTTTTTATGTTAGATATAATTCATCTGTTGCCAAATGTATTTGGGCATGACTTTTTAAAGACATCTAAAATATGAATTTTAACTCTGAGAAACATTTTTATTCAGGTATTTCATAAAAAGGACAATATAATTTTCTTTATTTTTTAAAAAGTCAGCGAGGCAGTTGAAAATTACATGTCATTAAAATGAACACAAGGAAGTTGACACGACTTTAGAACGTAGTCATTTAATCTGTTGATGTCGAGGATTTATTGTTTGAATAAAATTTGATGCCTTTTGATTTAAAAAAATTCTTTAACAACACTCTAGCGTTTACCGAGCATAAGAGCATCTTTTTATATACTTGTGATGCAAGGAAAAAGACAACGTGATTACAGATGTACTTTATTGCTTTCTTTATATTTTGTCATTCATAAGACTTCATCTTATGTAATTTTAATTATTACAATTATTATCATATGTTTATTTTAATAATATTTAAAACAAATCTTTATTTTATAAATTTGTATATTTCTTTATGAGGGCGTGTATTATGTATATGCATCGTGTGTACCTAATTTTTGTACATGATAGTTCATTGTACTTTAAGAAAATTTTCTTTTCTAAATAGCATGTTTACACAGCTATCATTTGTCCATGATTGTAAGTCTTAAATAAGATATTGATAGTACAGAATATTCTAGCAACAATTTGATGGAATATTCCTATTAGAAATGATTTCCATCTAGTGAGTTCATGTACGTTAAATAGAGGTTTAAGTTAAGTGACGTATGTCTTAATATAGCCTTTCTAAACAAGTAATCATTAACCTAAGTAACACTAAAATAAATATCAGCAAATTTAGTAGTTATTATGATGTAACGATGGCCAGAACAACGACAGCACGTAGCCTCCTGTCTTGGTTGCCGAATCAATAACCTGACCAAAGAACATTGTTACCGTTATCCATTCAAATACAGCACGACAAATATGTAATGAAACCGCTCCGGTGGCCTAGTGGTTAGAGCGTCCGCCTCGAATGCGGGAAGTCGTGGCTTCGAACCCCGGCAAAGTCATACCAAAGATTTTAAAATATGATACTAACAGCTGCCTCGATTGGAGCTCAGTATTAAGAGGTTAGTGCTATGACCGGTTGGCTTGGTGTCAGGATAATGTGACTGAGTGGGACATTATGCCACATGTCTGCTGCATAATACTTTCCTCAAGTATAATCACATGTTTGCTGCCCCAGTGCTTGACATCACTATAAACTGTCACACTGCAGACATCGTAGCAATATGACTGAAAAATTGTTAAAGCTACGTTAAAAAATCTCTCTCTCTCACACACACACGCACACACACATACATACATACATACACACAAATATGTAATGATAATCCTCAAAGAAAAACTGGTCGAATATTGGGAAGACCTATGTACCCTTATCTCAGAAGAAAATACTTGAATCAGTGGTATTACGACATAAGGCACCATTCACATTATTTACATTAACTACTTTGGAAACGACACAAATACAACATAGTACAGAGACTGCCAGTTTATCGATTTACATGCCTGATCTTTGTACCATCACCCATGGAAAAGACTATCTGGCAATTTCATTGCCTTCTAACTCGGGCACAAAGTCAAGGCACTAAATCTTTGTACATCCTGTTTTACAACTCTGTCATCCCTTGTAAATATATATGCATCTAACATTTGGAATGTGTACATGAAAGGAAGAGACTATCTCTAATTGTACGCTTATATAATAATGCTTAAGTGAGCGGGGTTTATTTAAAATTGTTGATTTTAAAAATAAATTTGTATTGTACGGTTTTATTTTCTTCAATTATTCTCTCTCTCACACACACAATTCTCTCTCTCTCCCATTCCATTATCTTGCACACACACACACACACACACACATGGATTTTAAGTTGTGACATTCACAGAGTTGTTTCCCATTATATAAGGCATGGGTAATAATTGAGAACGAAAGATCAGGCCATTTGTGTTCCTTATCAAAGTCTAATAGAGATAATACATGATAACGATAAAGGTACAGCGAGTAATGCAAATAAAAATTTTGAATTGGATACACTCATTTCTAATGAAGAAAAACTGTATAGTATTTTGAAAAATAAAATCACAGTCCCAACAAACAAGATTCCCGTCCTTTGTTACCAGTGGACATTACAACGCATAACATTTCACTATATAAAAATATAGAATCCCTTAATGTGTTTGATTCAATATCAATCTACATAATTCGTTGCGTGTAAAACCTTTTTCGATGCATGACATTAAAGTAATCTGAAGAATGTAAAACTAGTATGAAAACGTTGATATCCCAACGACAGATACAAATTGACATCACCGCATATCAAAGGGAGTTAATGAGGTTACCAATAAAGTATTTAGATAGCGCCAACAGAGACTTACTGATGTGACATAATTTTCGGCCTTGATGTCAATAATCTTTTTAGAAAAACCTTTGAAAATTAAATACTTTAGTATGGTGACGGTAAATTGAAAGCCGGCTTTTCCCTTAAATACAGTTTGTTGTACATCATTATTGTCATCATTTCTAACAACAACAACAACAACAAAAACAACAACAACAATAATAACAACAATTATTATTATTATTATTATTATTATTATTATTATTATTATTATTATTATTATTATTATTATTATTATTATTATTATTATTATTATTATTATACAGGAATCAGCAGAGCCTCGTTGTTTAGATGGAGTTAGCAAACATGTCGTTATTCGAACCTCTTATTGTTGCTGCTATTGACATTGGGACAACATACTCTACTTATGCGTTTTCAACACGCCACGAATTCAAAAGTGACCCAGTCAAAATATATGCTGAAACCAAATGGGCCGCCGGTGGTGTGTTTGCAGCAGAGAAAAATGCAACAGCTGTTCTATTTGATAAAGAGAAAAACTTCCGCTACTTTGGATTCGAAGCCGAAGAATTTTATTCAAGGTTGGAGGCTGAAGAAATGGAAAATTGGTATTTCTTTAGTAGATTTAAGATGACTTTGTTTAAGAGGAAGGTAAGATATACACTTTCGTATACATCCACTAATATTCATTTGTATATATCAGGACTATAAAAGAGAGTACTCGTTGTACTGTGATAAAATTAAGGAGATGCGCATTTAGCTTAAGCAATTTTTAGGTTTGTGTGATTATATATTTGATTATTGGAATTATGTGCAGTGGTAAATATTCCTTAGCACGCAATAATTAGTCAATTATTAGGAGCAAACGTCACGGAGAGAAAGTGTTCCTGAGTTTCTAAGATGCCATGGTCAATGGGAAGCGAACTCAGACCCAATCCGTATGACTGTCCCTATCGTAATGCAGCACTTTATAAAACCTAGTGGTGTGCATCGGTGTTGTGACTGCATCGACAGTATTTATGGTAGGAAACCGGTAAATTAAACAATGGGATAAATGGGAAAGGACTCGGAAGATACCGTTTATGTCGCCATAGTGGCAAATGTGATGTAGGTTTACTGGTGTGATGTGCCTTGAAACGGTAGATCGACTGGCCTCAGGTAGGCAGTAAAACTAGTCCCCCATGTTAGGGATAGTTGTACAAATTCTACGGTGTGAATTACTAGCGGAACGGAATGTTAATGTAGAGAAACTGTGCGGATGTGCGGTTGATCGTTAATTGGCAAGTTGTAAATAATGTGGTCTTGCATAGATTATTGTAAAAATTTATGTATAGAATGGACACGTCAGGCTTTCCAACTTAAAGTGAAGTTTTATAGAAGTCTTTGGAAATATGGGGTAAACTTATGACTTCTAGCGGGATTCGAGCCAGGGTTTTGACACAGCTCGGTCAAGCAAAATACCCCTGGCTTGTAACAGTACATTATCGAATTTTAATCTGCTTTTTTTGTAAAATAGTGTTAGGTCTCTTTCTTTTTCTGGAGGAATCCAGGTGCAAATATACCTATGCGTGTATATAAATATATATATATATATATATATATATATATATATATATATATATATATATATATATATATATATATATATATATATATATATATATATATATATATATATTACCCATCTGAGTGCAAACATTGAAAATGATGATTTTGCAAAGGAATTTATAAGGTATTCCTACACTTATTCCATTTGTATGGGAAAATATAACAGTTATTCTGAATAATAAAGCACTACCTTGTGAGTGAAGTATTATTCAGAAAAAAAGACGAGTTCATAGTTTCCCAAATAAATACGATAACCTCTCTTTATTATGTTTTTCTTCCTAAGTCTTAATAATAAAAAGAAAAGACTACAAGAAGCAATGTAACGGAGTTTATCATGTATTCCAATAATACACAAACGTCAATTCATCAATTCACAGAAACAATATAAAAGAATACTTCGTTCTCTCTAAATTTGAAAATTAAAGTCATATTGTTAACGAATGAGCATTGAAATTACTTTTCTAGTTGGTCTGGAATGGAGAGATTTTGTTTATCTGCTGATCCAACTCAATTTTGCTCTTTTGTTTGTGACTGACTGGAGTTTGTTTGTTTTTTTTAAAACCTGAGTCAAATCAGTAGACTGGCATTGAATCAACTGTAGCTGTTTTGGTTCTGTCATTCATTGTTTGCAATCATAATGTGGGAAACATTAATTCTTTTAATTGAAATCATTGAATATAATATTCAATTTCTTTTGAGAGCAGTAAGGAAAATGTGTTTTTAGGTGGAAACACAGTCGAAATAACAGTAAAATTTCGCGGTGTGTATCAAGTTTTTCTAAACGAATGATATGGGTCATGTCATTCGGATGTGCAGAACTAACTAAAGTAATGTACATTTGAGGAAATTCGATATACATAAATGCAAATATGTTTATTGTCATTCTTATTACTAGCTAAAGAAGAAATCTATTTATACCCGGTCACTTTCATGCTATCAGTTGGAGGGACCTCAGCTATATTGCTTCTATCGCTATGCTAACATTGTATCATAAAGGTTATAAACAGGGAAAATTGCAAAGCAGCTTCTGAGTTGCAGTCCATTAAGCGTGAGAAAATAATACTTTTTCGTCGCCTTGTCGTATCGGTTTGGATGCTCTTAATTTCCTACCAAAATCATCGTTGCATTTTTTTTTCGAATTTAGTTTTTTGATTGACTTGTAAAACGGTATTTCTCTCCTACATAGGCGATAGCCCTTGGCCTCAGTATGTTTTTCTGTGCTATTAGTGTAGACCATAGAGAGTACTGTTAATAGTCTGACCAGGCTATTTGTGAAATGTTACGAATATTTCTTCTAAATAACTGTTTAAATTGATCAGAATGGCACTTTCATTACTGCGTCTCTCATGTTTGTTGTTGATATTGAAAATATCACGTTCATTCATATAATTTTGTTTGAAAATTTCGTTTGTGACTCCGCGAACTCGTCAATATGGTTAACTTTATCATCTCTTCTTTCAAATTCACCAAATACCTTGTTTAGTTCATTCACAAAAAAAATCGAAATAACCAAAAGCTAGAGCATATACTACATGAGTGTACATGGTTTCTCTTTTCAAAGTAGTTTCTAGTACTAATTTTAGACTCACTCATGTATGGAAAGATACTGCACTATTCTGACAATGTAAAGTTAACAGAAAAAATATATATAATAAATGTGTTTCTTAACTGTCGATATTGAGAATCTGACATTTAATACAACTGAAGAGCAAAATATAAACTTTAAAAAAACAACCGCTAATGCAGGAGTATCTTGATAAGAAGAATCAAATCGTTTTGTTAGTTTATATGTCCGTCGTGCGTCGTGCTTATTTGAGAGTGGGCTTTTTTCTTCACATCCTTCATGAAGGCCCTTCAGAAATTAAAACTAAACATTACAGAGAGCATCATGGAATCAGGTATGTTCACAATTTCCCCAACGGTGTCGTTCTGCAACAAAATATGCATTACATTAAATAAACGCATCAATTACTTTTAAAACTTAATAGAAAGCATCTTGATTATGCAAATCCTATATTACACATATCTTTGATAGCAAC